CTGTGTGTACACCTATTTTGGACAAAATTTCAGCATGGCTTGAGATCAGAAGAGTTTCTAGGGTTTATTATATGTAAGGTTTCAGTTCTAAGAATAAAGGTACCCGAATTGTCCTTGTTAGTGCCCCCTTGGGCTATTAACCCTCAATCCTAATCCATCACAGACTAAAGTGGATCGAGTTCAATTCGAGGGGACACATTTCTCTATGACTGACACGGAGAATAAATTCTCATGAAGACATAGAGCATATAAACCCCGAAAGTTACTTGCTAGGTCTGACACGGAGAATAAATTCTCACGAAGACGTCGCTTTCACTCCCACTTAAAAAGGACAAACTCAATTATAGAGCTTTATGTTATGCAATGCAAGTGTTGTGTGTGAGGAGAAATGTTCAAACAACAAACAGAAAAATAAAATAAAAAATATCTAAATAAAATAAAAAAATAATTTGAAAGAAAATAATTAAAAATTAAATATATGAATTTTAATTTCTAACTGATAGAGACAATTTATAATTGGTTTTAAAGTTTGACCAGTCCCCAGCGGAGTCGCCAAGCTGTCGTAACCGGTTTTCGTCCGGGCACGAAATATTTACTTGGCGGGAAAAGTGATGTGAATAAATGGTTTTTAAAATAATTTGGGAGTCGCCATCGGCCTTTTGGGTTAGGTAGGTCGAATACCTAAAAAATATCTTTTAAAAGAGTTTTAAGAAAACATCAATTAAAAGATAAACTGATCTGCGTTTATAACCAAAAATTCGTTCTTTTTAATAATAAAAAGGGATTCGTGGTCGGTTACGTTTAGGGAAGGATTAGCACCCCTACAACGCCCAAAATTGGTACTTTTTTAATTATAAATTGTCTCTATTATTAAAAATTAAAAATTCAAAATATATTTAATTTATAATCCTATTATTTCAAAATTATATAAAAAATATTTATTTATTTAAAAATATCAGAAAAGGTCTTCTAGGTGCCTTAAGACAGCTCTTTTCTTTGATATTAATAAATATTAATTTAAATAAAATTAAATAATAATTTTTTATTAATATTTAATTTTAAAATACCAGAATAAGACATCTAGTTGTATTAAGACTTCCCTATTCTTCGATATTGAAAAATAAAAAATAGTTTATTGAAAAATATAAATTATTATTTATTATATATATATTTATGACTACATTAAAATATTTAAATATATAAACAAGTAAAATTAAAACAATAAGAATACAATTAGAACTATATATTTAAAAGCAGTAAAATAAATGAAAATATTTAAAATTAATGACTAAATTATAGTAAAATTGAAATTAAATACCTAATTCATAATTAATCAAAATTATAGGGATTAAACATGCTATTTTCTTATTTATTAATTTAGTAACTAAAATAAAATTATATAAAATTCGGATATTAGATTAAAATAAATTAAAACATACTATTCAGATTAAAATATTAATTATTTAAAATAACGGACTAAATCTGTTATTTACCCTAAATATATTATTTTAATACAAAGGACTAAAATAAATAAAAATAAAATTAAAGATCTGAATTAAAAGGATTATAAACTCGATTTAGTGACTAAAATGTAAGGATTACAAATTCAAGGGATGGCGGACGGGATTTAACAATTAAAAATTATACAAATAGCCCTCCCCGAAACGACGTCGTTCGGGAAGGGCTATTTAAAGCCAAATCCGGCTGGCCCTTCGGGCCATATCTCATTTCTTTTTTTTTTCTCTCTCTAACTGAGAGAGAATAAAAGCTCTCCCTTCTCTCTAGCTTCCCTCATCGGAGGGAAGCCGATCACCGGACGGCAGCCGTCTGCCGCCGTGACTCTCACCGCCGGCCACCGCATCAGGTGGCCGGAAAAATTTATTTTTACACCATTATGTAGATCGGACCGTCCTAATGACGGTTCCGGTGTTCCTTTCTTTTAAAACGCTCCTAATCGGAGCAAATCTAATAAAGTACCTTCGATTTTCGAAGGTTTTGGTGATGTTTGAAGAGGTCCGGTGATCGTAGCTTCCTCGGTAAGCTTCTCTCCTCCCTTTTCTTTTGTTTTTGGTTGCTGGTTGTTGTGAGTTGGTCTCTATTTTTGTATCTTTGCTCTCGGTTTCTGTCTCTCTCCGTCTGTGTTTTTTCCTTTGCATATGGGGTGATGGCTTTATAGCCATCACCGGTGTGGCCATCGGACCGGGTAAAAGAGTACCCTTCGGTGAGTCACCAGACTCCCAGTGGTGACTCACCCCATGGCCATAACGTGGACGGCTGGCGTTGGAACTTCTGGAGCCTTCGGTTGGGGCGTGGCAGCGGCTGGAGCGACGTGGAGCGACGACAGCTGGTGTAGTCCCTAGGGTATCATAACCCTAGGGTTTCGTCTGGCACCATCTGGACCGTTGGATCTAAGTTAGATCCAACAGCTGAGAAGCAAAGCGGCGGCTGGCTGAGATATAAACCCTAAATGGGTTTTAGGGTTTTTTTGTTTTGTTTAGGCCAGTCTGTTGGGCCTCAATTTGGGTTTTGTAATATTAATAAATAATATATATTAATAATAATAATAATTATTATTATAATTATAATAAATAATAATAAAAATGGGTAAAACAAATTTAATATCTTCACTATTAATTTTTTATGGCATGATAACATAAAATTAGATCACATATCAATGATGATGCTATCATGTATGTTTTTAAAAATAAAAATATTAAAAATATCAAAATAATGATGAAATTAAAATTTGAATATTAGTTTAAGGGTAAAACTTTTTTAGGTATAAATTTGAGAGAATGTACCTACCATAGATAATAATGAGAGTAAAAGTTTATTATTATTATTATTATTATTATTATTATTATTATTATTGAGTTAAAAGGTAGTAATTGTTCAAAGATAATTTTTAATCATTTAATATCGAACGTTTATATCTTTAATATTCATAGTGTTCGAATCCGGGACCTTAAGAAATTTACCATCGAATTCACTTAATTTATGCATAGTAAAAGTTTTTTAAATATTAATTTAAAAATATGATTAAATCAAATATTAATATATATTTAATTATTCTTATCATTATCGAAAAGAATCATAAATTTTATTTAATAGAATCAATAAAACTAGTATATAAACAAATTCTTCTAATCTATATTATCTTTGAACTTTGAAGTCAGCGTAGTCAAAAATCAAATTACGATGGTTTAAATTTAAAATTTTGCATAAACCAAACGATTTTAATTAGAGATGGTAAACGGGTCATTCTAAATGAGTTTAGGTCGGATTTAGATTTTATTCAGTTTAATTTTATTCGGGCGGTCCGGATTTGGTTAAGATTTAGTTCGGTTGTATAGTAAATCGGGTCAGGTCGGGTATCGGGTCAGCTCAGCTCAGATTATTATCAAATCGATTATTTTTCAGTTCGAATCAATATTGGATCGATTGATTTTTGGGTCGGGTTAATATCGGCTCAATTATATTTCCGTTCGGATCAATATCAGTTCAGTCAATATCGAATCGGGTGATTTTCGGTTTGGGTCAAACTTTAGATCATATTAATTTGGGTTGAATTGATTATGAGTTTAATCATATATATATATATAATTAATAATATATTATTATAAACAAATATGTGTTCTTGTTTGTTAATCTTATCATTTACACAATTAGGCTTTATTCTAATTCGCATTTGTTCAATATTTTGAATTAAACTATCATTTAGATATGATAAATTGATAATTTGACATAAATACGATCCTATAATGCATGTTATAGTTTGTTACCAAAATTTTATATTGATATTGTACGAAAAGTTTATACCTTTATTTGTTATTTTTTAATTATAACATAAGTAAACTTTATATTATTTTTATTATAAATCTAATATTATTTCTTTTGGTTTAGTTATTTTTTATTATTTTTATTATAAATATAATTTTTTTATTATAAGTAACGTAGTAAATTGTTTTCGATTTTACTTTTATTCCTCTGATTATGTAACATAAGTAAACTTTAGTTGTTTGGATTGCTTTCGGTTCGGTTACTTTTGGATCGGGTTAAATTCGGTTCGGTTTATTTTTTGATTTGGGTTAATTTCGGTTCGAGTTATTCTCAGTTCGGGTCAATTGGATATGAGTCCATATTGGTTCAACTAAATTTTAGATTGGGTATGGTTCGGGTCGGGTATGGTTCGAGTTTCGAATCAAATTTAATCATCATATTCGGGTTAATATCGGGTATTGGGTCGGGTAATTGGGTTCGAGTCAAGTTTGCCATGTCTAATTTTAATAGTCAAGAAAATTATTATTTTTCTTAAATGTTATGGATTTGAGCACGAAATTTTTAGGGATGATTGATTGTTTATTATTAAATTTTGAATAAATATTAATTTATAAGCACCCTAAATTAATAAAAAAAAATTAAAACTTAATATAGTATTAGATAATGAATACAACTTCTTTCAAATTCTATTACTTTCTCTTTTCAGTTTCCAAACGGTGCTTGTTAATTCAATTTCCCCTTCTTTCACTTTCTAATATTTAAAACAGCCGGCCCATTTGAATAATTCAAATCTTTAAAAACCAGTGATTTGGAGAGGGGGAGAGTTCAATGAATTTAGAATCACCCATTTGACATTCGAGTAAAAATATAAAGGGAAAAAAAAAGTTAATTATTGTTATTGGAGTATGTTATTCGAATCTCATTGAATCTATTTGAAAAGTTCGTAGTACACTCACTTTGTAAAAAAAATAAGATTAGAATAAAATTAAGAATTTGTGATAGATGTGGAGGTTTTAGGGCTGAACTATGAAAATATATTTCTTTCATCAACATTTGATTAGAAGTAGGAATTTTTCTCCTTAACTTTGTTAACTGAGCACAGTGCTCAAGCCTTTAAATTTAAAGAAGAGGGTAGCTACTTTCTCGACAATATACATGCATTGGACAAGCTGATTTTTATTAGTTTTGATAATAAAAAAGGCGAACGATCGAAAGGGGTGAAACGATAACGAGGTCAGGACGATAGAGAAGGGAGACTAAGAGACTTGAAGCTGGTGAAACCTCCATCAACAACCAAGTTATGACCCGTTATATACTTAGCTTCATCCGACGCCAGGTACAATGCTGCCTTTGCCACGTCTATCTCCTCACATTCTGCTCCTTTTAGCTCCCCCACTCCATTTATCATCTCCACCACCTTTTCTTCTGGAATACCTCCATATATCTCCGCTATTTGACGTACTGCCATCGGTGTCGGTATCGGAACCGGCGATATGCAGTTTATCCTCACCCCTGTCTGACATAATTTGCTAGCTACTGACTTCACGATCCCAGGTATCGCAAATTTGGTTATTGAGTACGGGTGTGATCCAAGGCCACCCATAAGTCCACTTATGCTCGATGTGCAAAGAATGGACCCCGATCCCACCGGAACCATTACTCGAGCCGCATGCTTTATTCCGGCCACAATTCCCCCAACGTTGATCTTCATGACCCTATCGAATTCGTCCAAGTCGAGCTCGGTTATGCTGGGGGGGAATATCTTCCCCGCTATGCCCGCGTTGTTGAACATTATGTCGAGCTTTCCATGATTCTCCATGGCGACTTGTACAGCTTCGGCTACTTGGGACTCGATGGTCACATCGCAATGAACAAATTGGGCTGAATTGCCCAGGCCATTGAACGCTTCTTGACCCACTTTAGGATCAATGTCTGCAATGATGACGTGGGCTCCATTTTTTATGAACTCGAAAGCTGTGGCCCTGCCAATCCCATTTGCTCCTCCTGTGATTAAGGCTACTTTGCCTTGTAACCTGCTTTTTTTTTTATAATAACAAGACAAAAATCTAAGCAGAAAGAGGGGAAATGTGGGACGGAACACGAGAGGGTCGCTGCCTTGTTTGAACAAATAAGCAGAACGAATATGTTGAGAAAAAAAATGTCGATAATGATACAATGGCAATCCATTTATCAAAACGTCCAATCGAATAATTCTCGGTTTGACAAAAAATATATTTGATAATTTGAATGGACCACACTTTCTCTGTTGCCGCGAGTCACACACCAAAAGTATTTCGGACATTATTAACATAATTAAATTTCCAAAGGAAAATGTCTCTGATCTGTTTCATTAAGATGTTAAAGACACCAATGAGGCTTGGCCAAATAACAAACAAAAGAAGCTTAAATTATGGCAAAAATTCAGTTTGATTGTCTTACATTAATTTTCCTCGGGAAATATTGCTTGCTAGATCTGGGAGCGATCCAAATATTATAATCTCCATATCATGTGCGCAAAGTGCTAGTATCACAGAAAAATAATAAGAAAAAGGCAACTTTTAACCTCTTCTCATTAAAAGAACACGAATATGAACACCTAGCGAGAGAAGTTTCAAAACTAAGCAACATAGATGGAAAAATCACCCAAAGTTCAAATGGACAACATGTGATCTGCTATGAATTAGAGTTCAAGATATACATGGAAGGGAAAATCAAGTAACCATGTGTACAACTACTAAAGCTACTCCGAGTAACTGTCATTTCAAATGTTCTTTTTTTTGCGTTAGAAATTCAGAGGGTATGTTTAGTGTTGATAATCAAGAGGTAAATAAAGACAAAAGGAGAAGAACTGAAGTCATCATGGCTTTGTTGATCAATTACCTTGGTGTAGCGGAACCATCTGGTATTGCAGAGTAAAACTTTGATAAACCATTGGTAGCAAACTTGAACTGCCTGGGAAAGAACAAAAACACAGAACGAATTCAGGTTGGTTTAAGGTATAAATTGTAATAAATTAAAGTGTATGTATACCTGGCAATGATCTAAGCACGCTTAGAAATTAAAGGGTTTTCTGGGGAAGATGGGGAGGAGGAGCAGAAAATTATTGGTGGAGGAGGAAAGCGTTGCTGCAGTTGAAGTTGAAAGGGCGCACATTTCCATGCAGGGAGGAGGCTGAACATGCTTTATAGCATTTATGACCTGTCCTCTTTAATGAACCTTTGTAATCGAAACAAAACACGAGTGAGAAACCAACAACTAACTGGTTACTTTGCTTGCTATCTGGTTGTGCTTTTTAAAAAAAAAAACTTTTGATGAAGATATCATGTAGGTCGGTTTAGGGAGATAAACAAATCAAATTGAGCTTGAGTACGTTAAGTTAGATTTTATTTAAAAAGTTTAAAGTTAAGTTTCTCGACTTAAAATTCAGGAATTTAAAATCATTAAACTCGACTCGAATTCGAAATAAAAAATTAAAACTTAATTTGAGCTTGAAAATTTTGAAACATTCTCATACGTAAGCTGATAAAAGCTCGAACTTGATTATTAAGTATATGAAATACACATATTACATTAAAAACAACATATAAATGTTAATATTATTAATAGTTTACTTTAAAAAAAAATTAAAAGTCTAATATATTATTTTGTTCGAATTGCTTGTAAACTTTTCGAATTGAGTATTAAATAGTTTTTTTGACTCATTAAGAAATTGAATCGAACTTAAATTCGAATTAAATCCATTCAATTCAAATATTAATTGAATTTTAATCAAATCAAATAACTCAAATAACTCATTTTGTCATAATTTGGATAGGGATACTTTTAAAGTATTTCTGCCTTTTCCCTCTCCTTTTATTTGTCCCTTTTTGAGAAAAAGAAAAAAAGTATTCATGGTGTCTTAAACTAAAATGTAATATTTTATTTTCTTTTTATTATTGAGCTTATGTATTTGAAATATTTTAATTAATTAAGATTTATAAAAGTCGCATTATTTAAAAAATGTAGTGCGGTGTACAAGTTTAATTATTGTAATTTATTAAGGAAGGCAGTAATTAATTATTATGCATTTGCAATAGAAAAAAAAGCCCTCAGAAGTCAAAAGTTTAATATTTTTTTTAAAAGAATGATGCTTTTGTTGTTATTTACAGTAAAGAACATTACGTGAAGAGATGCATAAAGATGATATAGCAATGTCATACATATATCCGTATAGATTCCGCTCCATGGACTCACCAACAACTTAAAGATGATATTGAACTGTATCGTATAATCCACTATTAATATGAGAGGAGAGTGGGTGGCCAGCTGTAGCACAGTACAAGTGTAATCGATGTAAATAATTAATAAGTGCTAAAGTGGCAAATAATATGATGCAACAAGATTTGGCTTTCACTTGGTCAACGAAGCTAATTTATTAGTTTAATTACACCGACCATTTTGTTTCAAATTACATCTCATTATTTGTTTCCACTTTGCCCTTTGGTATTGGAGTTGAGGCAACGCCTAGATGATCAAAGCCATAATACAGAAGGCCGATGGAGCTTTTAAAAAGCCTATGCCTATTTAACGTACCACTTTTGTTTTCCATGAAAATTAGAAAATATAATTAACTAATTATTATGAAACGTGTATCATAGGGTACATTCTTAATACATGTATTTATACGATGGGAGGATTTTTTTATTTTAAAGTATTCAAATAAAATTAAAGGCAAACTATTTATTTAGTACCTCATCTACTTATTTGTTTTTTTTTTGTCATCTACTTATTTTTTCATAAAATTTTACCTAATATCGTGTTTTGGTTCTATTTTATACTTGCGGTTAAGTTTGAGTATTGATTAAATGAAAGTTATGACGTGACATAGAATAATAATAATTTTCATATAAAACTTACACATTCGGTCAAATTACTCATGATTTAAACTAATTAAATAATTCCCTAATATTTAAAAATCTGATCATTTCGATCGGGCTAATCAAGGTAGTTCCATAATATATACATATAGAAATCCACATATATACGTTAATATAACGATTAAAGATGCAAATTAATAAAAAGAAAAATACTTGAGGGTCTCCCAAGTTCCGGAGTGCATATGCTGTAAAAGCTGTCACCTGTAGGTGTCGAGTGTTAACGGTTCTTACCTTACTAAACAATTAATTGCATAACTAAATTATATGTATATTATATATTAGGATTAGTTACAGTGAGAGAGGCAAATTATTGGGTCATTAAAGGAATAACAAGTTGTCATCTTATTAAAAATTTTTGGTGGAGACAACAGCCGACAACTTCCTCAACTTACAACCTGTGCTGTTCCTTGTCTCTTATATCATCTACTTACACAAGTAAATAATCAGTTTCCTTTATTGGTTATAATTAACAATGCAAAACCCTTGCTTGGTGGCTTAAATCGTTAATTAATTAACAAGCATGCAGCATGGAGAATTGATCGGTTTAATGAGGGTGTTTAGTTAGGCAAAAGTGTTAGATTACTATATTTGTTGTGTATGTTTGGTTTGGTTTTCAATGGAAGCATGTGGTATTGGGCAGAACTTACTAGGACATATCCAATCAATGGCTGCTAAAACGGTACTGTTGCACGTTAAAATATTGTAACTCTGGCATGGTGGCCGGAGACTGTCCAACGACGACAATTGAAGGTGAAAGAGGAACCAACAACTATAATTTTTAAAGAGAACATACAAAGGGAAATAAACTTTTTATTGAATTGGAGAAAAAGAATTACAAAAGTTTAGTCTTGGCTCAACACTTTAATAGGCTTATACCATCCTTAATAATATGCTAACAAACAAACTAACAAAAGTTGGAATTAATACTAGTTGGTGCTTAAGGCGTATCCTAAAACTGAGGACTAAGGCTTTTCCTGTATTGTATGCTGGCGCAATGAAGGCAGGAGAAATTTGGAAGAGATTCGGGTAAAGGATGCCAAAGTTTCTTGGCATAATATGATTTGGTTTCCTCTCCATCCCTAAATGATGCTTTGGAGACAAGGGATCACTTGTTCCTTGAATGTCCTTTGGCTTCTGCAATATGGGAGTATGTGTTGAATCTAAGTGGTTTGAGGAGAAATTCCTCATCTTGGGAGGCTGAGATAGCATGGGCTAGTGGAGCTTGGAAAGGGAAGTCTTTACTCACAACAATCATGAAGCTAGCTTGGTGTGCTCAAATTTATACGCTTTGGGAGGATAGAAACGGGCTGCTCTAGAAATGTTGTTGAGATAATTAAGGTTATTAAGGAAATAGTTGTTATACAATTAGGGGCTAGAAACATAAATAAACTTGATAGTGTTAATATTATTCTTTGTAATCAATGGGGTATAGGTTAATCGTTGCATTATTTTGTAATTGGAGTTTTGTACCGCAGCTCTAGAGACACTATTATTTGTTTAAAAAGTAGTAATTAATTATTGTCGTGCATTTCTATTTTGCCTTTGCCTTTTGATTCTTTTGACATGCTTTAAATAAACTGGGCTTTGTGTTATGGCCTCGGAGCTTTCAGAATTTGGCTCCATATTCTTTGGGCTTCCTTATTGCTGTGGCAGCTTCAGGACCACTCAACTCCCAATCAGTCCAACTAGGAGCCAATTTAAGGCCAGGTTGACATTACTGTGGAGAAGCACTTTTAGTTAAAAATTACTTTTTATGGAGAAGCTATACCAAACATCCTAAAGTTAAAAAGGATAAATACGTTTAAAAAGGTGATTTTAAACAAATCGTAAAAGTTATAAAATCTTTTTTTTTTAATTTTTAAATTGCGTTTGAAAGCATATTAATATTTTTACCCTTATATCAAGTGAACTCCATTCATTTAAAATGTCTAAAATAATTATGTACCTGCTTAAAAATAATTTTTAACACTCAAAATTTTAAATTCAACAAATAAAAGTATTTTTAAAAGTCACTTTTAAAAATATTTTTTACCATACTTTTCAAAAGTTATACTAAATTCACCGTTAGTTGAGTTGAATCACTTTTCACCTAAACAAGTTTTATGGGATCTTTTGGCTCCAGTGTAATTGCTATTCTATGAGGACACTAATGGGAAGCAAAGGAAAGGCAATTCAGGGTACTGAAATGTGTTTTGGTTTCAAAAGTATTTTTAAAAGTCACTTTTAAAAAATATTTTTTACCATACTTTTCAAAAGTTATACTAAATTCACCGTTAGTTGAGTTGAATCACTTTTCACCTAAACAAGTTTTATGGGATCTTTTGGCTCCAGTGTAATTGCTATTCTATGAGGACACTAATGGGAAGCAAAGGAAAGGCAATTCAGGGTACTGAAATGTGTTTTGGTTTCAACAGATGTAACATAAATTGGGCAAAGTGGATCATTAGTTATTACCGGCCCCTATACAAGGTAAATGAGACGAGACAGATCGCGAGCTACTCGAGATCGACTCGATCTTGGCTCGATAAATACTCAGATCAAATGGACTCGACTCGAGCTCGAACTCGACTCGAGTTCTTAACGAGCCGAAACGAGCGAGCTACTCGATACTAAACTCGAAAAGCTCATGAGCAGCTCGAAAAAATGTTATATTATAATTTTAAATTTTTTAAAATTACATTATTAAAAATATATTAAAAATACATTATTGATGAATAAATATTCTTGAATTGAAAATGGTTAAAAATTATTTTTGAATAAATTTTCTTATATTTATTTTAAATTTAAAAAAAAATTATTTACCTAATGACAAATATTTAATATATTTCTAATGATAATATTTGTAATAACTAATTTTTTAAATTATTGTTATATTTTGAGGTTTCGAGTTCAAATATCATAAATATAAAGGTTTAGAGATTAGGGTTTATGGTTTAGGGTTTAGGGTTTATGTGATATGATTTAAGGTTAGTTTAGGGTTTAGGGTGTGGGGTTTAGGTTTAGGGTTTAGGGTTTAAGTTATACACATGAAGGTAACATACAATTATGCAAAATGATGTTATGTGACTCCTAAATAAATCATTCGCATACTTATACATAAACATATCAACATGCAAAATAAATATACACAACCAATTAAAGAAAACAATCCTAAACATGGATTAAAATAAATATACAAAATTGGAATTAAACCAATGACTTAAATACAAAATGTGCATAAACTATAGGGTCTTATATGCAATTGATCCTATTCGATTTAAGCTAAAATAATATGGAAAATAATATAAATGACAGCTGAACATTTAAAACAAATAAGAAAATTTAAACAAATGTGATTGAAATACAAAAATTAAAATATAACATACCAAACTATAAATTTATCAACCAACAACATATTAATTAAATAATTTGCCAAAATTTTCATCAACCAAATGCACTTCAAAGAACATTTATAAAGAAATAGGCACTTTAACGATATGAAAAATGCTACAAGGTACTGTCATCATGATTAAGTACTATAAAACATATGTCAAGAAATCAAGTTAAGCTCATCAATCTGTACAGAGGGACGATTGCTGACAACAAGCAATATATTAAATCAAAAATTCAAATTGCTAACCAGTTTGAGAAAAACAAAATACCATAAGATATTGAAACAGCCCATCCAAATTTTGTGGCTTATGATGTACACCAACAGTTATGTAAGAAGCCTAAAAGTCCCAAGCATCAAAGCGTATCAGTATAACTGAGGGAGGATAACCAATGTCTGTTTGCAGCATAAGGCCAGTAAGAGAGCATTACTAAAGGTGCCATACCTGTTGCAGAAAGGCTGAATTCTGTGCACCGATGTAACAAGAATCTATAGGAACCTACAGAAGGTAGCCAGTTAATTAAGACTGGCGACAAGAACACATTTGAAGCAAGAAAAACTACACATACAAAAGAAAAGAATAAACAAGCCAGTTAGTTGTATCATGCATGTATTCATGTGTATAGGGAGTGAGTAAAATAAAAAACAATTGCAAACTAAAAAATGAAAGATGCCAAATTTCACCGACATAATGCAAACCTTCTACTCAAAAACAAGATGGTAGAATGAAACAATAATATTTCCACTACAAGGTTAAGACCTTTGGCCAACTAGAAGCCGTCATTAGGATACCTACCCTATACATAAATCGCCAAAAAAAATCCAAACAACTGTTACAGATGGTAGAAAGAATAGGATATTTAACTTCGCAACTACATCTAAAGTTTTCAAGTCACTATAAGAAAGAACATAGAGGACTAGGTTGAATTGAGTTGGTAATGAACTGTCGAATTAATGAAACATGAAAATTTTGGAGGAAATTTGACAAATATATATTGAAACAATGAGAAAGAAATAATGGATGTAAAATTTGATTACCTCAGAGCGTTGGGCAGAGAATATTGCATTCATGATTGCAACATATCTGAAAAGAAGAAATCATTCTGGAGTCTAAAAGCCAGAGGTGGAATGTATGAATAACCATAAAAAGAAAAGGAACTTACGGTTCAGGTCCATCTGGTGATCCCTGCAAGCATAAGATCTGCATACAAATGTTGGTAAAATACCATGAAACATAGTAATAAAAACTAAAGAAGAAAATACATAAAAATTCACCACCATAAGCCAATTACAAAATCTGCACGTTTAGTGTTTTTCTTTTTCCAATATGTACCCACAGAAACTCTTCATTTACTTCTCGGTTTGAATATAGCTATTCCAAGTTGTTTGAAATTAAACCACTGTCGTGTCGAGTTAATAATTAAGATATTAAGTAGAATAACATTGATATTTGTTCAAAACACCAAACAATTATGGTGAATGGAATTATGAAGCTTCATCTTCATCGTCATCTTCTTCATGCTGACAGAAAAGTTACGCAATGAGGAGACTGTTATAGACTTATAGTACATGAAAAGCACAAAAGAAAGAAGAAAAGATGGTCAACAAATGTGAGTAACGTTCAAAAAGAGAAGGGAAAAGGACGAAATGGATGAAACTGAAATGCACGAGGTTGGTGTTGGTTGCAGAAAAGGCTTCTTAAATGGTTATTGATTTCTCGAGAAGAAAGTTTAATTATGCAGATTGTTCTTCATTTAATGGTATTTATTGTTTATTTTTTACAAGATTCTGTGTAACATCCTCAATATCGGCTAGTGACTTAAAGGTGAATTTTGAAAGTATTGTGTTTAATTTTGAAATAAGTTAAAAAGTTCAGAATTTTAATTTGAGAATTTTGAGGTTGGATTTAATAGTAAAGTTTGAAAGTAATAAGGGTATTATGGTCTTTTCTAAGAGAAGATTTTTATTTCTCTTTTAAGGGATATAAAAAGTGGGAATGAGGGGAAATGAGTTTCTAGAGTTTTCTTCTTCTCCTTTCTTCTTCACGCATGGAACCCAAGAGCTAAGGTGAAAATTTTTATTAGTTGATTATTATTTGAATTCTAAGTTGGTTTTGATTCTTTGGAAAGTAAGAAAGCTTAAGGAAGTCTAAATATAAGTAAAAACTCAAAGATGAAGATGTTAGAAGAGATTAAAGAATATGGGGTTTTAAGTGAAATTTTGAATAAGAAGGTTTAAACGAAATTGGAGGATGAATTTAACTTGTCATCTAGAAGAATAAGAAGTTAGAAGTGTTATAATTAAGTTTGGATAACATGGAAACTTTGGTATGATTATTGATTTCCATAAGAAAGATGGAATTTTGAGGTTAAAGATGAGATAAATGAATATTAATGAGTTTAAGTATGTATATGTAAGTTAGGAATATGAAAGGGGATGAAAGATGAAGCGTTTGAATTGAATCAAGTGGATTTTCGAGCTCAAAAATAATTTCTGGACTAGGGGGAATCGGTACCCATTCGAAGGGGTACCGATACCCTCTCAAACGAGAAGAATTCCAGAATGTCATGAGGGTATCGATACCTCCAGTAGGGTATCGATACCCCCTAAAGGAAAATGGAAATGTTGATTTCTTAAAGTAGTTTAAGCTATTAGTATCAAGTTATAAGATTAGATTTTGATAGATTGCCTTAAATTGTATATTTGTGTAGATACCGAGCATAAATCAGTTCCGGAACATTTGGAAAATAAGACCGATCAAGGGAAATATGAGAGATCGGTATTAACTTAGTAAGGCCCAGGTGAGTGCATCTTATTTTATAGGATTATAAGGAAATTGGACTTGTGATAAGTTTATTTCTGATAGTTGTTTTATTATGCATGAAGTGTTGATTATAAGTAGGCGAATGACATGAAATGTATGTATGATTGATTATATGAGCTGATATGTTCTTGTATGTGTTATAATTTATGTAAGTATAAAGAATAAGTCATATGATAAGATCTACGTAATATATAGAATGTAAAATATATGTTTATGAAGAGTTATAAGAGAACCTACATAAATCATATGATAAAGGGAGTATATGATTATGAAATAAAATATGCAAAAATAAAAGAATATGATTAAAGTGAATCCACGAGAAACGATAGAAACTAGGTAAGTAAGAAAGCTTAAGGAAGTCTAAAGATAAGTAAAAACTCAAAGATGAAGATGTTATAAGAGATTAAAGAATACGGGGTTTTAAGTGAAATTTTGAATAAGAAGGTTTAAACGAATTTGGAGGATGAATTTGACTTGTCATCTATAAGAATAAGAAGTTAGAAGTGTTATAATTAAGTTTGGATAACATGGAAACTTTGGTATGATTATTGATTTCCATAAGAAAGATGAAATTTTGAGGTTAAAGATGAGATAAATGAATATTAATGAGTTTAAGTATGTATATGTAAGTTAGGAATATGAAAGGGGATGAAAGATGAAGCGTTTGAATTGAATCAAGTGGATTTTCGAGCTCAAAAATGATTTCTGGGCTAGGGGGAATCGGTACCCATTCGAAGGGGTACCGATACCCTCTCAAACGAGAAGAATTCTAGAATGTCATGAGGGTATCGATACCTCCAGTAGGGTATCGATACCCCCCTAAAGGAAAATGGAAATGTTAATTTCTTAAAGTCGTTTAAGCTATTAGTATCAAGTTATAAGGTTAGATTTTGATAGATTGCCTTAAATTGTATATTTGTGTAGATACCGAGCATAAATCAGTTCTGAAACATTTGGAAAATAAGATCGATCAAGGGAAATATGAGAGATCGATATTAACTTAGTGAGGTCCAGGTGAGTGCATCTTATTTTATAGGATTATAAGGAAATTGGACTTGTGATAAGTCTATTTCTGATAGTTGTTTTATTATGCATGAAGTGTTGATTATAAGTAGGCGAATGACATGAAATGTATGTATGATTGATTATATGAGCTGATATGTTCTTGTATGTGTTATAATTTATGTAAGTATAAAGAATAAGTCATATGATAAGATCTACGTAATATATAGAATGGAAAATATATGTTTATGAAGAGTTATAAGAGAACCTACATAAATCATATGATAAAGGGAGTATAGGATTATGAAATAAAATATGCAAAATTAAAAGAATATGATTAAAGTGAATCCACGAGAAACGATAGAAACTAGGTAATTATGTGGAAAAGTTATATGAATAATGGGATTATGAGTGTACATAGTGGTATAATTAATTATGAGAATTTAATATAATAGTTATATGATTTAATGTGAATTGAAAGAAACTAAATAAGATTGAGTTATAGAATGAAATGAGAATAATGTATCAATTAGGAAACTTGAATATGGAGTGATATGAGAAAATTATAGGAGTTATATGAAAACGAATTAAGTAAATTGATTAATTTGTATATAAAAGAAATAATAAAAGTAATATATATGTTTATCAGTATAATATAGGTTATGTAATATAAGTGCATACCAAGAAATAAAGAATAAGATAGATGATGCGATGTAAATTATATTATGAATTAGTGATATATGAATGTGATATAAATATGTAATAAAACTTATGTGTTGTATGATAAATATGAACATATGAGAAGAAGAGATAAGATAAGTAACTTGTGATAGGAACTATATGACCATAAATTATGTAAATAGGAATAATTAAGTGATATGTATCTATGAATATTTGGATATGTATATAAGTGATGTGATATATGAGGTCATATGAAATATTATATTATATGACTATGTGAGTATATGAAAAAGAATATAAGTACATGTGAATTATATAGAAATGATTTATGCAAACATGTTTGATATGTATTACATGTATGTGAATATAAGAGAATATAACATAAACCATATGAAAGATATAAGTCCTATGATATTACCTATGTGAATATATGAGAAAGTATAGAGTTATATGTATTACATGATATGTGATTTCACAAGAAATGACATGAGCTATGTGATTACATGATTATAAGAGATCAGACATGCGATAAGAGATAAGTAATATGAATGTGTGAATATGAAATGAAATAAATGATAATGCCCATGTTATGTGTCATGAGAGCTAGGGTATAGTTGGCATGCCAAGAGTCGAGGGTCTACGCGATCCTTCAGGACATATATGTATTCTTTGGAACATGTATGGGGTCTGTTGAGACACCTATGTGATCCTTGGCATATGTATATGGTTCTTAAGGAATGATATGTGGTCATTATGGACATTATTATATGGCACTACGGTGCAATTCTAGGTGGCACTACGGTGCAATTCTACGCGTACTTCGGTGTATATATACGAGCTGTGGTGACAGCATTTGTGCACAACCTCAATTCACTCAAATATCTTTAGTTCTCACTAGTGTATCATGGGCTAATAAAGAAACAATAACAAATACATATATATATATATATATATATATATATGAATATGTTTTTGATTATACGAAATGTGTTATATGAATTGTATGAGGTTATGGGTGTTTCTAGATGAAATGATATATGTTTTATATGATATGCATAAATGATAAATACAAGATCATGTGATAAATAATTTGATAATAATGATATAAATAATGATAATAATATATATATGATAATGCTAAGAAAGTAGATGATGATATATGTACATGAGTGTATTTGTTATATAAAAAGATGTGTGATTTTGTATGAAATTGTTATATGATTTTGTATGATAAGTTAGTATTAAATGTTCATGTGTTTTTGTTATATGGAATGTTTATGATTTCTATTATATGTTTTATTTGCCTCACTAAGTCATCGACTTAGCGTGTGATTGTTTCACACGTAGGTTCGAAAAGAATATAAAGAGCAATGTGGAGCTAGACATGTCAGTATCTCCTTTACAAAGTTCAGATCAGAAAATATATATAATTGGTATATAGAAGTAGTTGGCATGTAAATAAAGTTTTGGAATTTGATATGCTCTAATTGGTTTGTAAAAGCATATGATACTAATTTATGTAAATTAGTCAATTGTATTTAGTAAAAGTTTTAAAATTATTTACTATTTTGTTCAAGTAAAGGTTTTGAAAAGTCAATGTGACATCTCGGACTCGTAGCCGGATCGGGTACAGGTTGGGGGTGTTACATTTAATGGTATCAGAGCTATAGTTTAACTGATTCTAGGCTTAAATCGAAGTCAGCAGTATTTTTTTTTAAAAAATGTACATGCCAACACGAAGTGAAAAAGTTTATGGTCTGAACGGTAATGAGTGTGTTTCTTGTTAATAGAGTTCAATAGTTATATTATATTAGATGTGTGATATTGAGAGCTTCAAAAGTGAAGCACAAGGTGATAGACCTGAAGATAATAGCATTCACCTGCCCTGGCCAG